CTTTTATGGTTTATTTATTTCAGAAACTGCTGATCTGCTGAGATTTTTCCCACAAAGTCATCTCTAGGGTTTACAGCGACTGGTCTGAAAAAGGGAAAATGTCCAGTGAGCGGTAAATCTCTGTGTGGAAATGACTAGTCAGAGGTCAGAGGTTAAAGAAAAATGGCCACATTGCTTGAAGCTGATAGGAAAGCTATAGCAACTAAAAAAAGACTCATTACAACCAAGGTATGCAGAAAAGTATCTCAGAATGCACAACATGTTAAACCTTGAGATCGTGCAGCTATAACAAGGCTGCAGTATGAGCAACCTTCATGAAAATAATCATGGCAAAGCATTTAAACAGACATTATTAACACAATTGTACATGTGAAAACATGTTAGTCATATTGCTTAATCGTGTCTGGCGATTAAGGACCCTGGAAAGTACTTCATACCTTCCTTGCCCACAAGCGACTTCTTGGCTTTAAATATATTTTCTCCTCCTGCTGGTAATGCAATTTCTGCATCGGTTTCTATTTCATGCTTTGGCGAGGCAAAGCATGAAATGGACACGATGGACTGGCGTGTCTATTACATGCTTTGCCATGATACTGGGTTGGGCTACAGCAGCAGCAGATCACATCAGATTACAGTACTATCAGCAACTAAGCATCATTTAAAAATCACAGCCTGTCTGAAAATTGTTGCTCGCCACCTCCATCTCTTTATGAGGACAGTGTACTCATCTTCTGATGGCTGCTTCCAGCAGGAAAGTGCACCATGTCACAAAGCTCAAATCATCTCAAACAAGTTTCTTCAACATGGCAATGAATTCACTGTACTCAAATGGCCTTCACAGTCACCACAAAGTGCACTGGTAATATCGTCTTTAGACTGGGAGCTTTGAGCTTTTTCTAAACCTAAACCTAAGCAAATGTTGTACCATGAACTCCTTCGTCCAGGTCGAATGTTGATGTGTTTCTGTCGCCTGCCTACCTCTGAGTGTGAACCTTTTTACTCTTTCAAAGTGAAAGCAGCCATATAGGTCTTTAAGAAACACTTTTATAATCACTAAATCAAAAGACCCATTCATTTTAAACAAGACATACTCCGATTTACTACTATAAGACAGAAAAAAACGATAAAAGTTGGTAAAACCTGTTCTGTAGTGAGTTATGGTTACGTTTTTACAAACCACAGCATTGAATAAATATGTACTTTATGTAATACAGTACATAAGTTTCACAGCTCTGAGGTGGAAATGCATTCATCTAATAAATTCAGACAGATAAAGGCCATCTCGTATTGGTAAATGTTCAGTACAGCTTCTTACAGCGTTGAGTAGCTTTGAGGCTCACCCTCAGTAAGTGCAGTACTAATGCTCACCTTGTTGCAGTGGCTTTGTTGAATGGGCGTTTTAAACAGCTGTGGCAGCTGTTTTGACGGCTCTGTTGTCCACCGTGTAGCACAATAAACATCGATCTGATCTTAGTCAGGTCGGTGTTATGCATCCAGAAATATTGACATACCACTTTAATGGTGGCAACCGTTTCAACCTGAGCTGTTTTAATTTTTTTAATTTTTTATTTATATATTTTTACGGTGAAGAAGGCAAACGTCCAGCAGTCTTTGATTGTCTATTGATCAAGATTGCGGAAAAGCTCTTTGACTCGTAATTGAATGTTCGACTGTCTGTTTACAGAAACTGCCATCCTGGAAGGAAGCTGCTGCTCCTGTTTGTCAAATCATATGTATTCTGCAATTGCACTAGCCCACAGGACCTGTGGGAGCTGCATTTGTGATAGAAATGGCGCTCTGCTGTCATTATAGCTGCATTTGTCATAGGTGGAAGAATTGCTGTAACTAAATGTCACAGTGTTTTGAAATATTGTGATGGGAGATTTTTTTTTTTTCCTTACTTTGTTATGTTGATTATTTCCAAATGCCACGTGTATTGATTGATGTGTTACGCTGGACTGGATCCTGTTACATTTTTCGCACAGATACACAGACAACTCTATGAAGTGAAAAGTTAGCGGTTGCTGAAAGGAGGTCATTATCAGCAAAGCTGGTCGGAGCATCAGCGCCTTTTATTTCTGGCTCGGTCAGAAGTCTGAAGCGATTGCAGATATCGTGTCTTTCCTATTGGGGCGAGATAACACAGGGAGATTAATATCTTATGAACCCAGCATACGACTCCATACACGCTGTTGTGAAAATCCTTACCTCTGCAGCAATGCATCAGCTTATTGATGTGCCTGCTGTTTTTCTATATGTACTCACTGCCTTCGCTATTGATTTGCTTTGCTGTGAGACAAACTGTGCAGAGACAGTAGGTGCGCAAGCAAAGTAAATACACACAGGTGCCGTACACACAGGATCATTTTAAACATTTACTGTATCGTAACTTGCTAAAGTCTTCAAATATATAAGAAGCGCTGTCTCTGCTCACCAGTTGAGCTGTCTGCTTCTCTCTCCCGTGTACACGCACCCCTCATTAACTCGTGAGTGGTTCACTGAGCCCCTCCGTACCGTATAACCACTCTCCTGACTGCAGGCAGAGAGAGACCAGGGCTAATTGGTAACATGGTTATGAGCAGCTGGACTGATACGGGTGGCTGAAGCTGCTCACTTGTCTCACTGACTGTGACCAGAGGCATTAATGTGCAAATGTGCGTGTCTGTTTGTGCGGCCACATAGCTGGCAAGCATGATGCACGGAAATCATATCTGGCTGCAATTTCTAACCTCGACCCTTCAACACGCTGGGTGCAATAGAGTAGAGCGATACCCTAATGGGTCGCTTCAGAGCCTTCACTTTAAACACTTCAATTACAATTAAATTAATATAACTTTGCACACCAGTATATTAGCAATAACCCATAATTATAGTGTTAAAGCATGTTTTTGACCAGAATTTAGAAATTCTAGCAGTTAATTGGTCATCAGCACGTGTCGGGTCAGACTGCTCAGTGCTCAGAGAAACTGCAAAATAACCAGGAGCTACATCTCAGAATCTGCAGGCCTCAGTTAGCATGTTTAATGTTAAAGTTCATGACAGCACAATTAGAAAAAGACTGAACAAGTATGTCTTGTTTGGAAGGGCTTCCAGGAGAAAGCTGCTTCTCTCTAAAAAGAACCTGGCAGCACAGCTTTAGTTCGCAAAGCTGCATCTGAATAAATCTCAAGACCTCTGGAACTACTTGACCTCTGAAAACCATATCAGTGTAAGGCCCTCATACCACCTGTCAAGCATATTGTTGATCATTGAGTTGACCATAAACTCCTCTGTTCCAGAGTCAAAAGCTTGTCCAAAACCAGGTCATGCAACAGTACAATGATCCTAAACACAGCAGCAAATCCACAACAGAATGACTGAAAAAGAAAAGAATCAAGGCGTTGCTTTGGTCCAGACCTCAATCTGATCTGAATGCGCATCAACAAATGGCCACATACCTCAATGAACTGAAGCGATGCTGTAAGGGCGAAGGGGCACAATTCCTCCACAATAATGTGAGAAACAAGTCATACAGAAAATGATTACTTCAAGTTATTGTTGCTAAAGATGGTTATTCAGAGGACTGCATGTGTGCACCTGTAAAACCTCACTCTCACAGTTCATTTCTCTCTGCCACTGTCTGCTGAAGGAAAAAAAATGGCAATAGTGCCTTCCTCTGTGTTTAAATGGTAAATGGTCAAATAACTGGAGCAGCTGTGGAAACTCTGCCCTGTACGAGAGTGAGAAGGTTGGTGAGGAGATGGGCTGTGGTAGTTATTTTATTGATTGTTTCCATTTCTGTAAAAGTCACACAGTGTGCCACTGGACTGAAAACAGCAAGCTCTTTTAGAAAGTCGCAGGTCTCTTTTTTCTGCTTACACAGACCTGCAACTTGTAACACTGATTCACCTTTGGCACAACACTGACCCAAGACATACTGCCAGGACAATGCAAAGTCATGACTATCCAGAAGGGCCTAGCCTGAGCTTTAAGCCTTGTGGGGAGACCTAAAGATGGCGTGCAAGTCAGTAAAAGGCTTATTTTAAATTACAAATTTTAGTTTTTGAGTTTCAATAAACTGAAAAATAGAGTCTTAAATATACAGCATACTAAAGTGCAAAAAACAAAACCCCAAAGTTGGACACTAATTTCTAAACGATCTATGTGTCAGATGAGGACATTTCTAAATAGTCTAATCGGTCTTGAAAATGGAAATATTTGACATGTGTGCCCGGCAAGCGAAGTTACCCCCCAATCTTAAAGGCAGAGTGAGTGAAAGCCAGCTCTGAGTTCAGGAGGTTAGCACTCATCTGCAGTTATTCCAGAAAACTGTCTGTTCCTGTTGCTTTCTAATGGACGCAGTGTGTCAAGAGGCGGTTGATGGTGCGTGCTTGTGCTGGCAAATCACACAGTAAAGCCACTCGAGGGCTTTTACATTGAAATACTTGAAGATGTGTTTTTGATTGTTGGTCAGTCTTCTCACTGCTGCATGCTGCACTTTTGCACTTAAAGTGTTTTGTGTGTCCTGTGGATTTTTGCAGTACGTGCGTTTCAAACAGTGTTGATTAGCCATCTACCATCTGCTGGGCTCCGTGAGGAGAGCAGCTCATTATTCTGCCTGTTGTGTCTGTGTTGAAGCCGTAGCGCCGCTCCAGCTATCAGGCGAAGCTGCGGGGACTCTTCGTATACGAGCAGCGGGGAGCAACTGGATGATGCGCTGTTACTGCGCACAAGTGGCTGAGTTGTCAGCATCTGTCTGACAGAATGAGCTGTCCTCCGGCCAATCTCTACCTCCAACTGTGACAGTACAAAATAGTTCTTTTTTTATTTATGATGAGGTGAACTCTAAACCATTGTACAAAAAATACAATCTCCTGAATGTCGTTGTACAACATCTTCTACAGTGAAGTAGAATTGTAGCACTGGAAGTACTTTATTTGCTGCCTATGGGTGCTTGATAGGTGGTATTTTTTCGCTTGTTTGTTTTTGCCTCATTGTAATTTAATATTTATGTTTTTCAGGACCTTGTTGGCAGCGCCCCACCTCAGAGGAACTGGAAGGGAATAGCCATAGCCCTGCTGGTCATCCTGATCATCTGTTCTCTGATTGTCACCTCTGTTATCCTGCTCAGCCCTGGTGTGTATAGCCCTCTAGGAAATGCACACAAATACACAAACCTGCATGCAAATATGTTAACACTCAGTGGGTGTGTATTTCCAAGGATGCCAAGGATGCTTAATCCTCTTAGGTTATTATATTTATTCAAACAAAATGAGTAATTTGCATCACGTTACATATCCAGTTTCCTAGGAATTATGTGCATTCATAACTGACTATGGCAAGGATTTAAACTCATGCAAAAATTACAGTCTTCTCTTTAATATTTCCAGATACTGTACTTTTACTGTACTTAAGTGGTATTTTCAAGTATTTGTACTTGAGTTTTATTTATTTGACATATTTTTTACTTTTATTCCCTACATTTTTACACAAATATCTGCACTTTTTAATCCTTACATTTTCAGAACAGGACAGGAGAGGATAGATTTAAAGATAAGGAGTTCTCAGTGGTATATGATAAACTGGAAATATAAAGCTTACATGTAGTGTCCTCATTTTTTAATCTTATATCGGATCTGTATATGAAATAAAGTTATTTTTTCATATTGTGAAACGTCCAGCAAACCAATCTAATTTTTATACTAACTTTGTGTTGTTCAAGTGCTCTGCAGTTTGGTGCAGGATAAACAGGTTAGCTTGTTGTACTGTGGTGAATTCAGTAACTGAATTCAGTATTTAGACCAGCTGCATATGGTCTAGGATAAAGACAGAATAAATACTATACTGTCAGTGTAGTTGATGGAAATCTGCCAAGAAAGTAAACAAAAATCAAAACATCTGCTTGCCTGTTGCTGAGTTCAGTTGTGTAAATCCACCAAGAGCAGCAGTCTGGAGCTCACAACAAAAATTAATATGTTTCCTTTCTCCAACACTGAGCCAATACAACAACTTAGTGTTCCTAAGATAATTTGTTGTGTTGCCGAATCCCACTTCAACCCTTGTATTTTTTGTTTTAGTTGTGGAAGTGTAATCAGAAATAAAGTTTGTATTCCCGTGTACTAAAATTAATCTGTTATTGCATTAAAATAGCATTAAGTTCAGTTAGCTTTGCACAACAAGAGCTCTAGAAAAGCTGCTTTTTACTGTTGGACTTTGAGTTCATTTCAGAGCATGTAAAGTAAATAAGATACATCAGAACTCTTACTGGAGTAGTTTTGAACACAGTTTTGAAGTATCTGTAGTTTTGCCACCTCTGAATGTCTCTGACATGTTGATATTCAGCATTCAGACAGATGAGCTATAAATCAGGAGCTCTCTGGCTGAGGTACCAGTGCACACAATATTCCCATTTCTAAACCTATTTACTTATATGTATTTTAGTGCTGTCAGTGTTAATCTCGTTAAAATAAGGTTAACGGCATAACAGTATTAACGTGGCAAATCTCTGTTAGTGAGTTAACACGTGAGGCTGCACGGCGTCAACGCGTCAACGCCGTTAGCTCATTAACGCGTTAGCACGGTTAGCTTGTTAACACGCTAGCGCCGTGCAGCCCCATGCACAGGGCGATCCGCGTTAACTCGCTAACGGAGATTTGTGCATTAACGTCATGTTAACAATATTAACGCTGACAGCACTAATTAATTTATATTTCTATATTTTTATTTATGTATTTATAACAGTAGCTCTTTTTTCCTTTTTCAAATGTATCTATTAGTATACTGTAGGTGGGGGGAGGGATTGAAACTGTGGTCTCAGTGAAGCATGGAGCTATGGAACTTTTTTTTTAAATAACTAACTAACACTGTCTAGTGTCTGTGTTTGAGAAGGGTGCCAGCTCTTTTCACTGCAAAATAAATCTACCTAAGGGTACTGATTAAAGAACCTTGAACTTGAACTTGAATAGCAAAACGCATTAGACAAGTGAGACGAAGCTCTGAGAGGGCAAGGCTCTGACAAAGCTACACAGTCACCTCAGCTGATTCTATAAAATAATAAATGCTAAAATAATTGCAATACAGTGTGCCAGAAGTTGCAGAAGTTATTGAAAATACCTCCAAAAGCCTTGGATTCTCATGAGCAGCTAATCATTGTTGGCTGTGTCGTAATGTCGCACCAAAACCCATTAGAATGTGTGAAGCTTTTAAATTTTCCTGGCAAGAAATCAAGGTGAGGAGAGAGAAAAGTACTCTAGCTGTTTTTCAGTGCACACAAATTCTACACACATAGTGTGCAGAAGGAAGCATTTATCTGGCCGTAAAGAGAGGCTCGTGCTCATGACAGGATGTAAGCATTAATGGCGTCCGTCTTAGCCGGGCTGTAATGTTTGAACACTGGAAAGACAAAAAAGTCCAAACGATAAATAAGTATTCCTGAACTGTGGACAGTTCTCTGAAACAGTTTGGGCTAAAACGCTTTCTGCTTTGGTGAATTAAAAGATGAGTTGAGTGTCCTGATTGGTCCAGAGTGCGGACGCATCTTCATGATTGTTAAGCGTAATTCTTTGTTTTCAACTACAGACGTTCTTATGGATGTGGACCTGTAATGAAGCTACTGACAAGTGGATGACCTTTTGAACAAAAGTGATGGATCCTCTGATGCATCATTAGGACTAAAAAACAGGAAACATGGGAAGCCTCTGGTCCAGCTGAATCTTCTGGCTTAATCAAAACATTCATATGATTCACAACATTTTTTATGGCTCTTATAAACAGAAGCTTTGCAGAAAGAACTAAAATCAAGTCCTTTTTGCAGTTTGTGAACCACAAGCCATGTGCTGCCTACTTTACTTAGTACAGCCAATATCTCCAAAACAATCTACATGAACTCGTAGCACTGAAAGAGGCGTTTGCTGAATCTCCCCATTGCAGAGACGCCTGACATGAAATCGCAGTTGTCTTGATTTGACAACCTTTTTTCCACGGGGAACGGTTTTACAGAGGACATTGTTTCTCTGCTTGTGATTTTACACCAGTTCTACCAGTCATCTTCTCACTAGCTAATGGCCCTTTTAATGCGCAATTCCATTCAGGCCTGTTTAATGGAGATCATTATGCTGTAAGAACTCCAGCCATTTGTCAGATTGGCAAAGCATCAGAACACTGTTTGCCTCGTGCTGGAAATTAGCTTTCTCCTCCTCACTCTGCAGATTCTTACCAGGCAAGAGAGTTTCTATGACGTTTCAAGTCAGTAAACACTCGACAGCACTCGATGTGGTATTTACACGCGCACATCTCGCCGCTCAGTCACAACGTGAAGAGTGCCGAAGAATCTGTCAACTTACCATTTTGTACAGTAAGATCGGGCTGTCAGCCGTTGTGACAACTCCTGTCTTAACGGTGCTTTTCTAAGTAAAGGTGTTCTATAAGATGCCAAAAGGGTTCAAATGTTCACCATTTTTCCTTCCTCACATCCAGACTCACTCGCTTGTTGCCCCCCTGTTGTCTGCTCCACCTGCAGTTCAGCTGTCGGCTTCAGATCTCATTTTGGGTTTTGAGTCGCCAGGCAGCTGCTGAGAAACTCAGCAGGAAGATGGGAACTGATGCTCTTAGACCAACAGAGCAATACCAGAGGCTCTTTAATGTTTGCTCTTTGTGCTAAATTGACCCTCCTGTAGCAGGGGAGTAGTTGCTGGATTCCATCACCTCCAGAGACAGAAGAGGAATGTACAGTAAAGCAAACGTGTTGATAAAAAAAGTCAAAATATTTCCTTCAGTGTTTGCTATAAATAAATAAAAAAAAAAAAAATCTGGCAAGACTGAAAGACAGCTATACCGCAAAATAATTTATGACCGTAAATATGTGGGCTTCTGTGTGTCATGTTCAATTTATGCATGTTTATCCTTTTGTGAAATGCTCTGACAGGTGAAGATGACAGCCTGGCCCTTAAGAAGAAAGTAACCGTAGAAGATATTTTTGGTGCAGACCTTCACATCCATGACCCGGACGCTAAATGGCTGAGCGGTGAGTGAGCGAACGTGTGTTTGACGTTTAAAATCCGTCTCTCGTGTCAAAACACAGAACATATCCAGACGCTTTATGACAGCCGTCACACAGAGCATAACATCGGCATCAAAATCAGGCGTACACGTACATGCAGCAGCCCGGTTTTTCCACCTATTATTCAAGTTCAGGCAGTTCAACTGCATTCGATAACTGTAAACTGTTCAAGGTTTAAAAAATAAAAAAAATAAAAAAAATGTGGGTATCATCGTATAAATTCTAAAAGAAGTCCGGCCTTCTTCCAGCGATTAACAAGTTGGATAACTAACATATTTCCTGCAGCATTGGAGTTAGAGGAAGCCTTGAAAAGTTGTTGCAAAAGTGTCCAAACATTTTGTTGAATAGTTACAAAACACTCACTTACAAAAGGTGTTGGAACACCCTGTGTTACTAAACCCGCTGATACATCATTAGGACTATAGTGGTGCAGAAGGAAGAAGTTTATATTGGCATTGAAATTATGGGGAAAAGCTGAGTAACGCAGGAAGCCCGAGGGTTCATCCTGCAGCAAAACACCTTCATTACATGGAAAGTCCAGCTCAAGCTGGTTTGGGATGAAATTAATGCAGGGGTGAAAGAAAAAAAGCCTGCAAATGATACACCACATTTTTGTGCTGACCTTTTCAAAACCACTGATTTATATTCATTGCAGAAAGAATTCAAATCATGAAATCAGTTTGGCTGCTGGATGAGAAGAAAAACAGTTTTCATTTAGGATTTGAAGATTTCTAGAGAGAAAATAAAACTCTATTTATTCAGATGTTGTAAAAACTTTGATTGGTAACATATTTTCTTGGTTTGTCCATACAGTATAGTACAATAGAGTGATTATATTTTCTCATAAAAGAAAAATAGATAGTCAAGTCACACACAGCCAACGTGCTAGAGCAAGCCCAAAGCCAGACACCCAGCAATAAAGGCAGGCATAGAAATGATTCATAAAGAACAAAGAAAAGCAAAATGAAGGAAAAAGAAAGAAATGGTGCAAAATATCTGACGCTAACGAGTGCAGTGTTCCTATATCTAAAGTTTTGCATTTATTGAACTGTCCTGTCCTTATAAGATACAAATAAGGGATCGGTTTTGAGTAAGTTGCTGAGCGAGGTGCAACAGCACAAATAAACTGATATAACTGAGCAAATAAAATATGAAATATTTTTAAACCTGCTTGTTTCTAAAGCTAATGGAGTTCTACACTACCTCAAATAAACATTACAATTAGTTCAACAAACAATAACTCTGATTATTCACCTTAAACACACGTTACATCCTTGGAGTCAGCCTTTAAGCCATGCAATACAAACTGAGCATGCTGTGTGCCAGTCAAAGTGAAAAGATGCACACTTAATCAGCGTCCCTGTGTCCTCTTTTGCCTTAATAAGGTAGAGAATAGGAAGCTGCTACCTGAGCTCATAAAAGCTAAGTCTGTGCCCCCTGGTGTTCAGCAGGAGAAGTGCTTTATGTTCTTGAATCAGCACTACTTTGTTCCTGTGATGGTAACTTTATAATAACATTGCATCATGATAGATAGATAGATAGATAGATAGATGGATAGATAGATAGATAGATAGATAGATAGATAGATAGATAGATAGAATCTTCTGCCTCCATCTCTTCTATCCCGACCATCCTCTGTCACACCCACACCAACCCTCTGCATGTCCTCCTTCACCACATCCATGACTCTTTGAGGTTTTCCTCTTTTCCTCCTGCCTGGCAGCTCCATATTCATCATACTGTGTCTAATATATCCACCATCCCTCCTCTGCACATGTCCAAACCATCTCAGCCTTGCTTCTCTAACTTTGTCTCCAAACTGCACGACCTGAGTTGTCCCTCTGATGTACTCATTTCTAATCTCGTCCCCCTTCAACTGTGCCACCTGCAGTTCTGCCTCCTGTAATAAATAACACGAACAGTATAAATATAAGAAACAGCAGCAAGAAGGTTTGATACAGAGATGTCTTTATGTCCTGACAGGCGTGTTCACCTGTCACAAATAAAAGAGAGCTGTTGTACTTTTTTTTTTTACAGAGGAATGATTTTTCCTGAAGCGTTCTTCATGTCAGCCCTGCTGCCTCTGTAGTGTGCAATGGAGTGGGTGCGATGGGTTGTCCATGTTCAGTGACCCCCTGTCTCTCACTGACTCAGTGCCTCCAGTGATGGCAATAATGATTCCAGTCTTGTTGATCCTGCTGGCATGTGTGGCACTGATGATGCCCTCCCAGTAAACAACAGCAAAACAAATGGCAAGTGTTGCCACAGACCACAGAAGTTACCAGTAGTTACTTCTTTTTAAGCTTCATATCATACAGAGAGAATAGTATAAGAAGTTTTTAAAAGCACAACAAAGTTAAACATTAAAGCAGTGTTTTCTACCCTTTTGTCTTCTGGCTTTAGCTTACCCAGTACAAATGTCTCTGATTTTAATAGCTCATCCAAATCGTTTTTCCCTCTGAACTTCATTCTCAGTTTCATTCAGCAGGGTGTTAAATATTTAAAGCGCTACATTATGACACTGAGTGGATACTTGGGTAGGGCATGGGTGTCAAACATAAGGCCTGGGGGCAAGAAACAATCCGGCAATCACTACAATCTGGTCCACTGGACATTTGGAAAATGTTGAGTGTTTTCCATTCATATTAAACCAAACTAATTAAGTGATAGATCCACAATTAAATGACAGAAAAGTTCTTGTTTTTTTCTTTTAGAAATTTCTGTTTTTAAAAAACGAAACAAACAAAAAAACACCCCAGATTTTTCTGTGAATTAACAAAAACTATATTTTATAATTACAGGATAGTCTGGGCAATGAACTGCTAGAATGGTTTCTGTAATTTTACACATTTGTCATGTAGCCTCACTGATCCAACCCACTTAAAATAAAAGTGGGATGATGTAAAATTAGTTTGACGTTCCTGCTGTAGGGGCTACAATGGTTGTAGTGTACATTAAATATGAATAACTTTACATAACGGCATATTACGTCAACTTGTTTTTGTTGCTCAACAAACTTATGTAAAGTAAAAATGAATAAAGTAAATAAAGCAAAATGAATGCTGATGCAATACTGTTCGCATAAAAGTAAATACTGCGCAGAGAAGGTGCTGCCTTGGTGGAGGTTTGGGACCTTCAAAATAAAGTTCTGATTCAGATTTCAATAAACTTTTAACTCATCAAGTATCTCAATGAAAAACACACACAGAGTCTAAACAAAAAAAATAAATTGCTTGTAGTTTGTTTTTGTGCTCCCCTCTCTGTATCCACTACTTTTTCACATTTCTGTTTGCCGAGAGATGAGAAGAAGGCGATTGATTAGGGGGGAGAAAAAGCATATTTGGTCAGACATAAAATCAAATCTAGAAGATGAGTCATAAAACATTTATATTTTCTGAAATTTTTGCAAATCTGAGTTCTGCTTTATGGTTCTTACAGTCATACAGAAAGGCTGCCTTGATTAGGAAACAATGTTCAGATCTTCTTTGAGAAGTGAAAGTGCTGCGTTCAACCTCTTCGTAAAAGTCGTACTGCGGTTATTAGCTTGACACACACTGCATGAAAACACCTGAAGACTCGCATGCGTACTTTTAAATGCAGCTGTTACTTTTCATGTAGCGCACAAGCACAAAACGACCTTACATCTGTCCTTTTGTTCCACTGTGCAGATTGTTCGACTGATTACTTACATTACAGGCTTATTAACATATAATTAGTTAAGTTTGCGTGTTTCTGTGCCCTTCGCTCACAGCCCTGATGAAAACGTCCTCGGCACCTGACAAAACTCCAGGAATCAATTATGTGACATTGCATCTTGTCAGCTACATTAATGCAATCAACCCCCATTTGGCGCTAATGACCTTCTGATAAGATACCCGATGGGACAAGCTCACACTTGAGCAGTCCTCATCAATATTTTGTGGGCTACATTCACAGCAGTGCGTAATTGATCCCCACTGCTCTTTGATCACCGCTCGCATCGGTAGTCTTTGGACTCACCTATGAGTTTCTCACAGACTCCGATTCAAAGGCAAAGTATTCGACCTTCGGATTGATCTCTAAAACAAAGAGCTTCCACTGTCTGTCTGAAGCGCTCGTATCTTTGAAATACACACAGAGAACAGAGCATACGGTATATAACAAAACTCACTCCATCCTCATTAAATTCAATCCATTTAATCCAGTTTTACCCAAGAAAGCCCTAGAAGAGTGAAGGCAACTTTAAACAGCTTCACGCGACGTCCTTCTTCTTGTCTTGTTGTCACAGAAACCTGTCTCAATGCAAACTTGCATAAACTGCAAAATTATGCATTTTGCCCAAATCCTTTTGGCAATCCGGCTCCTCCCATACCTCAGCAGAAACAGGGGAGAGCAAAAATGTCCACAAAGGTTGATATGACACACTGCAACACAGTTTGAAGGTCACTTCCCAACAGGGTGCATTCATTCTACACTCCTACAATTTGTCCACATCTACTCAATCATCCAGAAAAGGCTAACAGAACTCCTTCACCTTTAGTCTAGAAGGAGTGGAAATGTTATTTAGGCAAGCTCACTGTCTGAGTTTCTAATATTAGATAGGAGAGAGCATCCTAGGCACAGATTTTGAGAGACTCTTGTTAGAGACTGCTGGGTCATCGTGACCTCTAAGTCCTTACAAAATGGAGGGGCCTGCTCTGAAAAGAAAAGCCTTTCACAGTCCCTCCTAACCACTGCTACAGCAATGTTTCAGCTTAAGGTCAGTCCTCTAGTTTGCTCTGCTTTGTTCAGGTGAGTCCTTACCAGGTGGCGTGAGAAAGCAGTGGTTTTCTCAGGCTTCCATAAATATGTCCATGCAGTTAGCTTTAATCGGAACTGTATAATTACTTTTGTTGCCGTAGTCACAGATGAACTGATTTTTATTGGACTGAGGTTGTATTTTGAGGTCTTTTTTTGCAAGATAGTCTATTCAATTCAATTCAATTTTATTTATACAGCACCAAATCGCAACAACAGTCGCCTCTATGTGCTTTATATTGCAAGCAGACCCTACAATAATACGTACAGAGAAAAACCCAACAATCATATGACCCCCTATGAGCAAGCACTTTTGAGACAGTGGGAAGGAAAAACTCCCTTTTAACAGGAAGAAACCTCCAGCAGAACCAGGCTCAGGGAGGGGTGGGGCCATCTGCTGCGACCGGTTGGGGTGAGAGAAGGAAGACAGGATAAAAGACAGTTTTGTGTTGTTGTTTTTTTAATAATGAATAAAATCAAATACTTTACATGAACCTTTTAAAATAAAACTTTTCAATTAATTAAAATTCATATCACAGGTCATACATATGAGTGAAGTACACAAAGCAATGACGGCTTTGCCTGATGTAGCAGATAACTGAAATAGTGGCGCCTTTATTAGTCGTTAATATTTCAAATTAAGTTTTTGTAAATCAGGGTTTTATCATGGTAAAAACAAACTTTATGACTTCCAGCTGAAATGTTTCTCATAAAATTAATTAATTACATTTGGCTGAAAATGACACATTTTATATGCATCTGTAGTTCCTGAAAATTGTCAATGATGGGATGTGAGACAAGTGCTTTTGAGTGACACAAACAGATGGTAGCAAAATGTATTTTGCTTACCTGTTTCAGCCTGAGCTTAGACGCTTTCATTGTAACAATTTGTTTTATTATTATATCTTTATAATCAGATATTATCAGCTTTAGGATATTGATATGCAAGTCTGTGAATTGTAATATTCAGGCTGATGAAGAAAATACAGTTAGTACAGCAGACACTTCGCTTTAGAGGAAAGAAGACATGAATCTCAGTGCTAAGCTCAGGTCGCTGGCACATTGAATACTCAGAGCCTTTCTAACACTGACCAGCGGGAGATACGTAATTCATTACTATTAGATCATAAGATAAACCTTGTAGTTTTCATATAAAACAGATGAAAGGCCTGTTTGGCAGCTTACTGCTGCTTTAAATTACAACTGGCTTCATTAAAAACACTTAGCTGTACATAACCTGCCCGGAACCATAATTTATACAAGCAACTAGCTGGTGAACTTGGTTGAGTCTTTGATGGCTAAAAAGAGATATTCCCATGAACCCCAAGTTATTTATATTGCTCTGTAACTGTTGGATGCATAAATAAATGATGAGTAATGTTGTCATATCAACTTAAACAGTAATGATGTTGAGTTTCAGTCTTTGTGCTTCACCTCTATGTTCCCAAAGTGCTCAAAAAATCTTCCAAGAAAATTTTTAAAACATTTGGCAAATTGTAGGTTAAACTGGATACTAAAGTGGAGTGGTGTAGGTGGTCATTACTACATTATTTCTAATTAGTAGTCATACTAAACCCATGCTTTTATTTAAACTGTTATTGTGTTGACAACTTCTGTCTACAGGTAGTCATGTACTACCAGGCTACCTAAATATTACACCTACTGGAGCTGCTTAACCATGGAAACCAATGGCATGAAGCTCCCAGCATGCAGTTTTTGTGCTGATGTTAATGCTGCTTTGCAATAATACCAATTACAGCTGATTGTGAAGTCTCTAGGATGGAAGAAATTTCACAAACGGTGGCCCTTCTATTACAGTACGACACTTGAATTCAGAAAGAGCCATTCTTTCACAGATGTTTGTAAAGGCAGGCTTCATGGCTAGATATTTGATCGTATACACCTGTGGCAAGAGGACTGAAAACACCGGAATACAAAGACTGAGATGACGTGGACCCTCCACAACAGTCCCAGTTTTCCAGTTTTTCCCAAGGGGGCTAGCCCTTTGGAAAATTAACACTGGATTAAAGGTGTGGATTTATACTTTTGCCCCTGTAGTGTATATACTGAGAACTGCCCTTGTGGTGGGACCTGTCGCAGTAATTATTACACAACAGGAAAACCATACTTGCTGCACTTTCGTTGTCTGTATCTGGGAACAGGAACTGTATGAAATATCATCTCACCCTCTGGTGTTTGTTTTTCATTCAAAGGCAATGAGCTGCTGTATCGTACAGCGGAAGGGGATGTTGTCCAGCTTAACATTGACACCTTGGAGCAAAGGGTTGTCGTTCCAAACCAGCTGTTTGTGAGTACATTTTCTCCAAGAACAGTAACTTTACTATCTGCTGCTGCTGCTGTACTGAGTGTGTTCCTGATGTGAGTGTGTCTGTATTTTTGTCTGTATCCCATCCAGGATAGATCCAGAGCTGCCAAGTACCAAGTGTCTCCAGACATGCAACATGTGCTGTTTGCCTTTGAAGTAAAACCGGTGAGAAATCTAGCTGAAATATTTTGTTTTCTCAGACTTTGTCCTTTCCTGACCGCAACTTTGTTTTCTTCCACAGAAATACCAACACTCCTATGAGGCGAAGTACATCATTTACAGTCTCGTGACACAGTAAGTACAAACTTTCTGTCCTCTTCCTCGACAAGTCTTTACTCTGACCATATGTAGCCTGGCACTGACATCAGCGCCATTTACCTGCGTACTCTAGAATCTTATGGGAATGCTTTTTAATTCACTTTAGTTTGGGGCGAAGCTTTTTGGCCTGTTTTTTAGCCTTTCATCCATCTATGTCTGCTTAGTTCCCTACTGTTCTGTATTTGTAGCGAGCCAAGCAAAGTCAGCTTGTGCTAAAAAAAGGACATGGTTGATTGATGAAACCTACAGTGAGGGAACAAGGCTGAAAAGCACACGACTTCTTTGTCTGACTGTGCATTTATATTGGCATATAACACGTGTGATGTGCATGCAGTATGCAAACCAGCAAGTATGTTCTCATGATGTGTTGTCTTCACAGGGAAACGTGGCCTTTAAATCCCCCTGAGGTGCATGAAGCTTTCCTGCAGTTTGCCGGATGGGGGCCCCAAGGCCAGCAGCTGGTAAGAAGCCTGTACCCTTGGGATTACACTCCCTGAGTTCTAGCTCGCAGGTAGAGATCTGTCAGTATCAGTCTGCCCTCACAGAGGAGGCACAGCAGTGGCTTGTCACAGTGGCACAGCCAAACCTTGTGGTAATAAGGTTTATGCACTCTGTAATGACCACATTTAGATCTCTTAGGTGAACGTCCTTTGCTTTGACCTCCATCAATGTCAGCCAAGAAGATCTTTGGTTTGTGACAGCTCGCGAGCCGGTGAGAGACACAGTGGCAGATGGCATCTTGGTGGCAGAACCCTTGGCTTGGGCAGTATGAGGTTGCTGGGAGAGGAGCAGTAGACACACAGCAATGATGTGTGTGCATGTGCCTGTTTTCATTTTAGACCACAGCATGGTGAGGATATGTTGGCTTTCTGACACATCTTCAAATGTTTGAGGGTGTAGGACTGGAGATAAGCCTCAAGGTTACGGCAATGAGCAAAGGGTTGCATTGCACCAGTGTCGTCACAAAGGTCAGCAGGCACGTGTTTCCACACGTGTTGGTCTGTGATGTCAGCCACGTTTGGGGGCAGCTCATGTACAAGGATCCCGTTGCTTGGAGACAGTCTGTATGATTATGGAAACAAATTCTTAATCTTCAATTTAGTTTCACTATTTGGAATTTCCATTCAGTTTACTGACAGAAAATTGCTTTTTTCTTTTTTCCTTTTTTTTTTTTTTACAAAAGAAAAACATGTTTTGCTGCTTTTACCTTTTAAAACATGAAGAGTACAGAAATAGTTCCATGGTGATGTTCAAACAGAAGTCCTTGGATTCAGCATAGTTAAAAGATGTGTCTCTCCATACACAAAGGGATTTAAAATGAGCTCTACTGAGAAAAAAAAAAAGGTATCTGGATTAGTTCCAGCTATTGTGAATCACTAAAACTATTTTTTCAATGAAACACTCAAATATTAAAATAGTTGTCTGTTTTTAATGGACTTCAGTAGAGGTCAAATACTGTCTGGTCAATCTGTAACTTTTTTTATAATGAAAACTCTGAGCTGTGACTCAGATCTTAGAAGCAAGAGATTTGTTTAGCTGTTCTATAATTTTTTATGGAAAATCAGCTATTTTAGGAAACCATATCTAACATACACCATACTGCCAAAAGTCTAGCTGCACGCTCACATGAACTTGAGTGTCGTCCCATTCTTAATCCATAGGGTTTAATATGATGTCGGTCCACCCTTTGCAGCTATAACGGCTTCACCGCTTCTGGGAAAGCTTTCCACAAGGTTTAGAGGTGTTTATGGGAATTTTTGACCATTCTTCCAGAAACACAGCAATGAGGTAAGACGCTGATGTTGGAAAAGAAGGCCTGACTTGCAGTTTCTGCTCTAATTCATCTCAAAGATGTTCTGTCAGGTTGAGGTCAGGACTCTGTGCAGGCCAGTCAAGTTCTTCTACATCCATGTCTTTAATGACCTTGCATTGTACACTGGTGTGCAGCCATGTTGGAACAGGAAGGGGCCATCCCCAAACTGTTCCCACAAAACGGGGAGCATAAAATTGTCCAAAATGTCTTGGTATACTGAAGCATTAAGAGTTCTTGTCACTGGGACTCACCGAGCTCCATAGCTTTATAAATGCTTGTAGAAGCAGTCTACAAGCAACAGTTCAAATTCATTCCATCCATTTGAAGTGGAAGTGTTTGGAACATCTGGTTTCAAAGATTTCAACGGGTGAGTGAATACTTTTGGCAATATAATGTACATTTACAGTCCTCTAATTCCCCAAAAGGATTTTACATATATATCTATATGTGTATGTATGTATGTAAATATATTTGATTTGATCTCGTGACCATACAAAATGCACTGAACACACTGTCATATAGACTTGTTTACAACATGTAGAGTCTCCAAAAATAGAATCCATACTTTTGTGCATCATTTTTCTCCAGTGACTTGAAGCACTGCAGGAATAATGCACTTGACATGCGCAATTTTCTGTGACACAGCTGCACTCATCACTTGGAGTTTGTCTTTTTTCAGAAAGCCATCACTGAGGGGGGCATGGTTATCCAGTTTCTTTATGGTTGATGACTGTTGGTTATCATGTTTCAAGGATCCTAGTAGATTCTTAGTGATCTGCCATCCAGGAATGGCAGCAGTAAGCGACTTTATAAAGTTTATAAAGGATCACAAAACACTAAAAAAAAACCTGGTTCTCGATCGTTAGTGGCACAGTTTCCTCATTAACTTGTGTATCTTTTTATTCTTGGTAATGATTATGCTTACCTGCAACTGCCTATTGTCATTATATATCCTGAAAGAAAAACGTGGAACGTCGCTGAATCTGTCGTGCAATTTACCTGCTTAGCTGAAGCTCATTATGGCTTATTCCTTACTGAGCTTTTCTATTGTTTAAAAACTATTTAAAAACAAGTTAGCAAGCAACAGTGCTGCGCTGGGCAACATGTTGTTTTGTCAACACTTGTTTGAGAGACTTCTTAAACAGCTCTGTGCTCTCACAGCTCTTCATTTAGCCTTTTTATGTTATACAAAACTGTATATTTAGATTGTGTTGACACAATCTTGGTTTTGTTGTATGAAAAATGCTAGCCCGTCTTTTACTGAGCTTAAAAGTTTCATCGATCCAGCACCTGATGGTGTTTTGTTTCATTCTCTTACTTACTCCATTTTTCCCTTGTTGACTTTAAATTATTTTTCTGTTTAGATTGTGTTCCTTAAACGAGTTACGGCCCCGCGTTTCATCGGCTTTTACTTCAAAGCTTTTCCTTTGTGCTGTAATTGCTCTTATCGTATCATTTGCTTAAATTACAGATACATGGCTGTGAGAAAATATTAACATTTCAAGTGTGTGATGAGAGTTTGCCTTTTGCCGAGGGAAGAAAGCAGGTGAATTTGCATATGGTAATAATGTATCTGATTGTTCCTCTCGCATAGCTGTTACTGTAGCTCTGCGTTTGATTTAATGAACTACCAAGGTTGTGCAGGAAAGGAAAAAAAATGAGATGAGCTCTCGTCTTTTGTCTCTCTGTGACCCGGAGATGTGTTTTCTTTTTTTTTCCCATAACAGTTTGTGAATATAATGATTTCCCATTAAGTTTATCAGAAGTGGAGCAATTTATCATCAAGTGTTTCATCAGCACAGAAAAATGTGCCGTGTGTGTTTGTGCCTGTGCCTGCGTGCAGCCGAGCATCAGATGTACAGTGAGAGGAGCCAGGAGATGAATCCTGTGACGTTCCCCTCATTAAACCACAAGCAATTACTCCACCATGACGGTGCAATCAGTGAGGCTGGGTCAATGCGCGCACACACACACACACACACACACTCATACACACACATAGAGCGGGAAAAGAGATTGTATTGACACAAATAAGACGATGGATTTAAGGGAAAATGACCAGTGGAAGTTTTATTTGACAAAATTAGACGTCTTGCAACTTCTCGCTCACCAGCACACATCCCAGCATGCAACTGCAACAACACAAATGAGCAACCATGCTGCTCGCCCTGCTCAGGTAGCTTTGATGTTGCTGCTTTCATCTCTGCCCTTTTGAAATGGCTATCTTTTGGCTTTTTGCACTTTCACTCTTTTCTCTCATCTAATTCCCTTGAACATTAAAAATCACCAAGCAAGTGAGTGTGAATCCAGATATGGATGCCCTACAATTGTAGCTCTGAGAGTCCATTCAGTATTATTTATGACTGTATCAATTTTGTTCTGAAAGTAAATCTCAACCCTGAAATTTAATGCCTGTCTTTTAATCATTTGGTTGGCTGAGGGTTTTTTATTTTATTTTATGTAACTCTTTGAATCCTGTCCCACGGCTGCTTTGTAACACTCGCCAACTGCCAGCTTCCCTCCTTTTTACACTGCCCTGCATTGATCTGTTTTCCTCAGATGTTAATCCCACAATATAAAACTTTGATTTGCTCAATAGCATCCAAAGATCAGAGCTAAAAGGACTTCTGTCTTTCTGTTTTCCTCCATCTTATGAGTGATGTGAGGCTTAAATTTCACTGAAGAGGGTACAGCTGACAGGCTAATCACACCATCACGGCCTGAACTATAGACATCAGACCGTCTTGCGTTCATCTGCTTCATACTGGCACCTGTTGAAGCGGTGAAATCACAGTTTATAGACAGAGGTTTTTAAGTGTCCCACGCTCATCTGACAGCGATGCGTCTAAATTCCTTCAGGCGATGCCTCTGTGGGTGCCAGAGGCTTAAATCAGCAGTATAACCAGCAATTTAGCTCAATCCCAGCCGACCCCCTGCAGACAGTGCGGAGTTCTCAATGAGCAAGGCGGGAGGCGGGGGAGTCATCAGCTGGCATCTACATATGTTTTTAGCAATGTATGTGTGCCTGCAGGGCCGAAGCCGATTCCAGCGCCTTGATTAGCAACAGAAATGGTTTCATGCTGAGCTGAAGAGGAACCCAGTGTGAACTATGATGAGGGAGATTTCTTTTAACACTCGTGCATTAAGCAGGTGTTGACTGAGAGTGTATCAGCTTGGATTAAGATAATGTTGTGTTGTTATTACAAAAAAAAAAAACTCTTACATTTTTGGCTTAAAGATTTCATTTTTTAATGCAAAAGTACAACAAATATTAATGATGATGGCTACTCTTTCACCTTCTTTTGTCCAGGTCTTCATATTCGAAAACAACATCTACTACAGAACGACTGTAGAGAGTCGAGCGATCCGCCTGGTGTCCACTGGCAAAGAAGGAGTTGTCTTCAATGGCCTCACTGACTGGCTGTATGAGGGTAAGATGACTTAAAAAAAAAAAAGGTCGTACCAAAATACAACAACGCTTGAAATAATATCGAGTCCTTTATGTTGCAAATGCTGGAATTTTCTTCAGAGTTCAGATCAAAGACGGATTTCTTTCATCTTTAACGAGTGGTTGAAGTTGAACTCAATTATGGATTCTGAGAATGAATTGCAAGGGCTCAGTGCACATCTCATTTCGAAACCAGGCCAGCTAATATGTTATTATAAAGTCTCTGCTTTTCAGGAAGGTTTTCTACAACATTTCAGATGCTGGGTATGGGGATTTTGTCCAAGTGAGCCACAGGGGCTTTAGTGAGGTTGGACTGTGATGTTGACTGCATTTGAATTGATTTTAACAGCCCAGTGTTGTTGCATGGGGTTTAGGTGAGGAATCTGTCCAGCTTTTTCTCTTTCTCACATTGAGGATTTGTTGCGCCAAGAGCATAGACTGAATAGAAAAGATGGACATAGTCACTGTAATGCCATCCCCTGATTTCTGGATTCTTTTTAAAATATCTGAGAAATTCTGTCTTCAGTGCGATTTGGATTTTTAAAAATCAGACATGGACATATTCTGTTGATAGGGTAGCATAAGGACAGTTTTAACTAATGCAAGTGTTGCCCAGTTAGCTTGTTCAGCAAGGTCCATTAGAGACATAAAATGTGGTCACCCGCTAGCAAATGAGCCTAAAACAAAACCTACTTACTAGAAAAATCATCCGGCTCTGTGTCTAAAAAGAGCCGAATGGTGAACAGAACAAAATACCACCTAGCTGTCACTCACAGTGGCCAAACATGTAATATTACACGTGTTTAAGAAAATTAATCACCCTCTGTAAAATTGTCTTGACACGTAAGCACAGCCCATGATTCAATAGCTTGAAGAAAGAGCTTTAGCCCCAATAAGTTTCTGTAAATTTATCATTTTCTTGCAATGTTGTGCAATATTAGGTTGTTTCAGTTCGCTGAGGTTTGCTGGTATTAGTTTATGCACAGCTCTCTTACAGCCCTGCCACAGCATTTCAATCAGGCTGAGGTCTCGACTTTGATTCGGCCATTGCAGCACCTTGGTTTTTTTTTCTTAATCAGCCCTTTTGTTGCAGATTTACTGCTCGTGCTTGTTGTGTTGCATGACCAAATTCTGGCCAAGCTTCAGCTGTTGGACAGATATCTTCAGATTTGACAACATTTTGCTATACAGAGAGGCTTGTGGTCAACTCAAGATGCCCTGTGGCTGCAATTGACAGTTAGTATGAGGTGTTTGTGCTGATATGCTGTGTTTGGTTTTTGCAGTACACGGTGCTGTGCATTATGGCCAGACATCTGCACTTTGGTCTCATCTGTCAAAAGGACATTTTTCCAGAAATCTGGGGGTTTTGCTCAGATGCACTTTTGCAAACCTAAGCTGGTCTGCCATGTTCTTTTTAAAGAGAAGAGGCTTTGACCTTTCCGAAGATAACCATTCGATCTTTATCTATTTGTACTGTCAGAAACTTTAACTTTTAACATGCTAGCTGAGGCCCTTAGAATCTGAGATTTAGCTCTTGGTTTTTTGCAGTTTCTCTGAGCTTGGTATAGCGTGACTTTGGGGTGAATTTGCTGAAAATTCCACTGCTGGGAAGATTGTGGCATTGTGTTGAGAGTTGCTGCTGGTCATTTAATCAAGTTCATTTGATTAGCAGCATCTAGCTGCTACTTTCCCTCATATTTCCCATAGAGGTAGTATGGATGTACTTAATTCAAGTAGCTATAGAGACCATTTAACAGCCTTTAAACATGTTCATTTTTGCTTTAAAGATTGTCATGTTAATAGTCTGCACCCTACTGTACTACTGTAGGGTATGCATGTCTACTACTGTACTAGTAGTACAGTAGTACTACTAGTACTTTCTTCCTGTTGGGAGTTTTTCTGTCACCACTGTCACCAAAGTACTTGCTCAAGTCAATCGTATGATTGTCGGTGTTTCCTCCATTTCTTTGTATTCTTTGTATTATTTACAATATAAAGCACATTGAAGCAACTGTTGTTGTGATTTGGTGCTGTATTAATAAAATTGAAGTGAATTGAATTGTAGCATCTAGATTTCCTCTTAAATCTTCTTTAGTTGTTTTTTGGACTGTTGGATACAGTAGAAATAAGCCATAAATACTTCCACCTCCAGTGTTATCACGTTGAAGTCATAATAACAACATGTGCATTTACTTCCAGTTGTGTTTCTATGCAGCCGTTGAAGGCAAGTTTATTATTCACTTGTTTTTGGGGTTTTTTCTTTACTGAAATCCAAATATCTTTCTTTTTAGCATCTATGTGCTCTGTTGGGTTCACCAGCTAATTCAGTTGCCAGCTGTGTCTTCTGTTTGGTGCTACAGGTAGTGTTGCCCACGGAAGATTTATAGAGCTTTTTTCGCTCCCAACAGTTGCTTGCCACATCTGGGTATGCACTCATTATGTTCACCAGGTAGTCACTAACTTCATCTACCTGCTGTTTGGTGCTGGGTGTTAGTTTGTGAGGTTGTTTTGTGTATTTTCCCACTGAAAATAGCAGCCTGCCGCCTGAACAACACAAGAATGAAAGTAAACTTTAGGTCAGCGGCTTCAAGAAACTTTTTAATATGTACTGCATTTCGACGGCTACACTTGAAAACCATTTTAATCCAGTCTTTTGACACCTGCCTCTCCCTACGGCGTGTTGTGTATTTGTGTGCGTGATTCCATTTGAAAGCACGCAGCTGGCTACATCTCAGCGCACCTCCTCCTTTAGTCTTCGCATAGCTCGCGTTTGCGTTCTGGCAATTTTAATTAATTCATGTCTGCAGCGCTGCAATCTCACTCAGCAGATGTTCAAAAGCCAACATATTTGCGATTTAATATGAGACATTTCCCGATTACAGCATATGTGAGACAGACATTGTAATTACATACCTCTTGTCTACGGTTTTGTTTACAGATGCATTGTCATGTTTGAGAATAATCTTTTGAAGTTTGAAGGTAATTTTATTTAGACTTCTGCATTGTTATTTCTATTAATTGTGGATTTATTGCGGGGGAGGAGGGGCCGGGATAATAATGCAGGGCAAATATAATTGCAAAATGCCAATTATTACGAGAGAAATTCTGTTACAGTGCATGAACTGCTTCAGGGTCGGCTCTAATCGGTTTTTCATTAATGGGATTATTTCTTTGTTGGAGACACAGAACATGACATGAAAGAAGTAATCCATTACCAGAGCCGAAGCAAGATTTGCCTGCTGTGTTTTCCTGCTGTGTTGTAAGGATTTATCTGCGGATAACACACTGTCTCACAAAAACAGAGACGATGCAGCTTATGTATATTTCCCACGCATTTCTTGGAGTGTTCACAGTGCACACTGTGCTCTTCAGGTCAGAAGGATTTGGCAGAAGTTGTATGAATGTGGTTCAAGGTGAGGTTGCCTCATTTCTGGAAGGCTGTACATTCAACTTTAAAATGTTTTTACTGTTTTTTCAGTGAATTTACTTAAAAGGGTTCAAGGAAATGCTACTCATTTTAAACATCTATTAAGGTGTTTAACTGTATATACATTTTAAATCTCACAGTAGTGTGCAAAAGTCTTGAGCCTTCCCTCATTTCTTTATATTTTACTTCCAAGGAGTCAGACTTTTTTGTCATTTTTTTTAAAAAATTGGTTTTGAGGGACAAATCTCCAGCTTTTCTCAAGGTTCTTCAAAGGTTTTCATTTTCAGTCCACTCCTTTTACCTTACTGTTTTCAGATGAATATGTTTTTTGCTTGTTAAATCACTTAACACTGATCTATGAATTATTCAGTAATAAAAAAGCAGCTAACTCAAGGGATGAACCAGTGTTGTGTCTACACATACCGACAACATTTCTACAAACCAATTTTAAATGATATCTTTGTTACTAGCAGCATGTTGCAAAATACATCTTTTGTTTCCCATGTCTTTAGTTGCATCTATGAAAATGCCAAAGATAACACAGTTTGACAGCCATAAAGTAGTATTTTTTCCCACCAGCAAGGTGATTCCCAAAGAGCTGTTAGCTGGAAACTTGGGATATCTCAGCATGGTGTGCAACATGTCCTTAAAAAGTGCAGGAACAAAGAAGGAGTATATTAAAAAAAACCCCTATAAAACAGATGATCAGTAAAATCAGAAGCCTCATCGGGTCTCAGCGGAAAGACGGCTGTCACGAAGGGGGGATAACATGGAGAAAAGGCTGAGGTATATCAAATCACACAAGAACTGGACAAAATCAATAGCAACAGGTCTTATGGAGCCATTCATGCAAATTTTACATTTTTAGTTCAAATCATGAGGAGAGATTCCCAACAGTTAGTGTCTACAGCCAGCAGACACTCACTGCTGTGGATCTTGTCAAAACTGATTACCGGTAAATGATGGACACAGAAAAATGCCATCAAATTATAGATTCACCAACATAATCTGGGAGGCATGTCAATAGCAACAGCTTAATTTTCCAGCATGACAATGACCCTAAACACACGACCAGAGCAGTAAAAATATTCCCAGTTCTTTGATTGCATTAAAAAAAAAGCAAAAACAAACACATTTGAACACTATCAGTCATGGATTGGCCTCCTCATGGCCTGGATCTCAACATTATTGAAACAATGTTAATCCCAAAGGGGAATTGTATTGTCATAGCAGCGTGTATACAGTAGACGACAAAGCAGTCATATAAAATTAAGTGTTGAAAGCGAGATATAAATGGACAAATATAGAGAGTTTAGGCTGTGCGAAAGAATAATGGTGATCACGCCAAAATGCAAAGAAATGAGGGGCTGTGCATCACGCTGAAGAAAACATGCAATTTCTATGTACGAACTATCATATCAAGTGGAATATTTAATGATTCACATTTTTGCTAAAGCATCACAATTCTCTTTTGATTTTCAGACGTAGTTTTGTGGGCTTAAACAGTTCTCAGACAGGAATAATTATGTGTGGGCCTTTGATGCTGATCAATAGTGGTAGGAATAATTCCACACTTGTCATAAGAGAGCATCAACCAACACGAGCTCTACCTTTGATCAGGAGATTAAAGATAGTGAAGTCATGAGATGCTGGAAAGACTTTCACAATGAATTGTCGAGCTGCAGGTTTGGGGAGGTGGAATAGATGAGCTCTCGTATGAGTACAGCGCGTGGGTTTGTCTTTTCTCATGTCATTAACGTCTGCAGATCTGTGGAATTTGGTCGGAAATGTGGCGTCTCTTTTGTGACTGGAGGGTTGGCCAGCCGCAACCGAAAGAGAGGGAAACATCAGCTGCACAGTCAACCTCTCCACTGATTTCTCACAGAGAATATGTGAGAAATGGATAACTATCCCATCTTTATGTGGGAACAAATTATAGCATCTATGCAGAGCTTCATAACAGAGGTCTTTTAGTGCTTTGGCCTTCATAAAACAATAGATTCATTGAATTGTGCTTTTTTAGAGTCTCTGCTGGTTTTATTCGGGCGCTGACCTCGAAAAATCAAGCTGCACTGCAACAAATTACCCTCTGCCATAGAGTGAAAATTCAATCAAATTCTGTGTGAATGGCTTCCTTTGCCAGCTGTGACAGCAAAAAAACAAGATTGGCTAGTTGGAAAACAAAATCAAAATGTCCTCATCAAGGCTGGACTGATCAGTCTGTGTTGGAACATGCTTTTCACAGAGTTCTTCTGCCCCCTGCTGGGTTAAATGCCACCCACAGGCAAAAGAAAACCCTTGGACTGAAATACAAGCAGAGCGAGTATGGAGCCCTTTTCTAATAATCATGTTTTTCTTGTTAAGAAAAGATGTTCACCCCACTGCCCGAATAATTGGGTATATTAACCAGTTTCAAGGAGAATACGCCAGTAATAGACTGAACTACAGTATTTTGCCACGTTTAGAAATGTATATTAATAATATGTTGTTGATTTGTTTTACAGAGGAGATCCTGCAGACCCACATAGCTCACTGGTGGTCTCCAGATGGACTGCGTTTGGCCTACATGACCATCAATGACACGCTGGTGCCAAAAATGGAAGTGCCGTTTTTTACTGGAGCGCCATATCCCGCGAGTCTTGACTATCATTACCCAAAGGCAAGTCCCGACCAGAAAATCTTACAGCTTAACGAATTCATAGTTTTTACAATGAAAATGCAGGTCTATTCAGACTCATTTCTCTCTGCTCATCAGTGATCTGTCCAAAAGATTAATAAACTATGGACAAAATATTTTGGTCCTTTGAGAAGGAGTCAATGGTTCAAGCCTGTGTCCATGACAGATTTAGAGGAAGAAGTTAATTACGATGCTTAATATGCAGTTCAGGGAGAACATTCATGTAATGTTTCATTTAAGCCCCGTTATCCAAACAGAGCTTGTGATTAAAATGAGCCGTTGTTTTAAAGAAACTGATAATAAACTGTGTGACCTAAACGTGCTGAAACAAGACTGAAAGGCACAAACCGAGACTATTCAGTGTGCAAATAAGAAGCCTGTGACTAACAAGCTTGTCGCATCAGAATTATGAGAGATGCCAGTGAACTTCCCTCAAGAGGACAAAAAGATCAGTTATTGAAGCTTCTGACCTTCGGTATCTAATTTCCTTGCAGGCTGGAGAAGAAAACCCTGTAGTGCACCTGTCAGTGGTGAGCCTCCACGGTCCTCTGCACACGGTAGCGATGAAGAAACCTGATGACCCCCGGATAGGGTGAGTGACTGAATCTGAAGGTGCCTCGCTGTGTATAAAGTAACAAGCACCGAGATATATTTTCGTAAAGGAGACAGTGCTGCTTGTCAGAGGTGTCATGTGTTCTCACCTTCTGCTTTTCCAGGAGGGAATATTACATCACCATGGTGAAATGGGCAACCAACACCAAACTGGCTGTCAACTGGCTGAACAGAGCCCAGAACAACTCCATCTTGACACTGTGTGAGGCGACCACTGGAGTCTGCATTAAGGTGAAACAAAGTGTGAAATTAGCTGCCACCCTTTCCCCGTTGTGTTAAAGTATTCCACTTGTGACATTCAGTGTTTTCCTGGGAGAAGACTGGAAATAACCCTGGCTTACATGTTTTTCATGTCGATAAACACAAACACTGTAGTTTATTTTGAATCAAACATCAAACTGCTGCTGCAGATACTCATTAGAGAAAAATAGGTCCTGACAAGGGCACCATTAGTCCTACAAGAGTAAGGTTGCTATGTATAACACATTGTCCAGCTGTTTTTTAACAAGCATTCATCGTGGTGAATATCTTTCACTGTAGCGTGAGACAAGGAGCTTGTGTTCTTGTGAAACAGTCGCTTATTTAAATCCCCATAAAAGTCTTTTTTTTTCACTTTACACAATAAGCAATATAGAAAGCAGGCATGTGAAACATTTCATATGGTGGGCTTCATACAACCCATTTTAATCTTGAGTGAAAATCCCCTCTTTGTCAGTCTGAAGACATTTAACTGTACATTTAATACCATATGTCTCAGTTTTTTTTACAGAAAATTACAGAAAAAGTTCTGGTAGCTCATTGATAGTAATTCACATTATTTCCCATACTGAAAAAAGGAAGTTTTCTGTTATTGCTTATCTAATTACTTTGATGTAGCTTGAATGCTACATCAAGACTGGTGGCAGTCTTCAGTAAGAAAATATTGTGAGAATACTATTTAAAGTCCAAAAAACATTATCCAGATGCTTCCACCTGGCTAGACTGTAGTCTTGGTCCCCGGGCCTTATGTCTGATACACCTGATGTAGACTGATAGTTATAGAGTGATCTTCAGAAACACCGTGGATGGAGACAACAGTTTCCAGCATTTGGCTGATATTTATGCAAAGATGCTGGTTTCTTTAAGTCGTGTATCACTGTTTTAATTATTCCTGTCCAATCTATTACATAAGACTGAAAGAGAAGCTTCTTCTAGACTCCAGCTGATGTGCACAAACCATAACTTTGATATCACGCATCATAAAGTCACATTGTTCTTGCTTTAGCTCGTCAGTTTAAATCCCAGCTGTGATCTGTCAGGTGTTTTGTTTTGTTTTTTTTGGCCACACTTGCATGTATGAGATTGGTATTGAGAGTCTTGTCTGGGAAGAGCTATGAGACAATTTGCAAACCATTGTTTGTCCATCATTCTAGAGTAGGAAAGATTATTCACAAATGGAAAACATTCAAGATAGTCACCAGTCTTCTCTAGTGAGGATGTCCCTGCAAATGCATCCCAAGGTCACAGAGAAATGTCAAAAAAATCCAAGAGCTATGTTAAATGTTAAATTTCAAAATGATACAATTAGAAAAAGATGAACAAGTATAGCTTTTCTGCAAGGTTGCCAGAAGAAAATCTCTTCTCTCTAAAAAGAATACGGCTGCACAGCTAGGCTTGCAAAGTTGTATCTTAACAAACTACAAAACCTCTGGGATAATGTCCTCCGCACAGTCAAGACCAAAGTGGCCATAATGTTTGACGAAAACCAAATACGACATATCGGCACAAAGAAAGCTTTCACAGGACTGTGCAATCCTGTGAAAGCTTTCTTTTTTACATAACTGTAAATGTAAAACCTTTTGAGATGTATCTTTTCATTTCCCTCCTATTTGCTGAATTAAGCTTTCAGCTCAGATCCTTTTCTCTTTTCAGAAACATGAGGATGAGAGTGAGAGTTGGTTGCACCGACAGGTATGTGATGAAAGCCGGAGAAGTCTAGTTGGCTAAAAAACAGACTCTTTTTTGCATGAACACGTAAAATGACAAAGATATAAAAAGCCCTGCAGGCACGTTTTTGTAACTTCTCTCCTCTCTTCAGAACGAGCCGCCGCTCTTTTCCAAAGATGGATACAAGTTTTTCTTCACCAGGGCGATCCCTCAGGGTGGCAGAGGAAAGTTTTTCCACATCTCCATGTCCACATCTCTGGTACGTAATGTTAAACCTTTGCTTGTAATATTTTTCCTTCGTCCTGTTGCGTGAGTGTCTAATTTGTGTTACTTCCCTTTAGCCCAACACTAGCACAGACATACTTCAGTCCCTAACTTCTGGAGACTGGGATGTGACCAGGATCTTGGCCTACAATCATGAAAGAAACCTCATGTAAGACCTTGAGATGCTTTCACATTTTTAAATGCAGTCCTGGCTCTCTTGTTATCTGACAGCAGTGTTCGTATGATTCACAGTTACTTCCTGAGCACAGAGGATGACCCCAAACGGCGGCACTTGTACAGGTAGCGCTTTAGTTAAAGTCATCTTGGTGATTTTTTTTAAGTGCTGCTTCAAGTGTACATTATTTACTCTGTGCCATCCTGCAGTGCTGACACAATCGCTCCATTCAACCGCTGTTGCTTGTCCTGTGAGTTCAAGTGCGGCTATATGGATGTTTCATTCAGCCACGACATGCAGTACTTCTTGCTCAACTGTAAAGGTGAGCGTCCTTTACCTTGACTCACTTGAGAAATCTTGGACTGAAAGGTTTTACATAACAACACTCCTGACAGCGAAGGCCTCCTGGGAGACTCAGAGAGCGTGTTCAGTAGAAAGTGTAATTGAATTAGTGCTCCATGTCAGGTAGAGAGCTTATATCGAACTGGGTGTTAGCAGATAACCTCAAACCACTGCAGGATCCTCCTGATTAGCAGTAAGAATAAACAGCTTGTCTGACTGCCTGCAAACAGTCACGTGAGTACTAACAGAGGCTGTGTGACTTTCGGCGTTTGTAGCATTTATTATGCGAAGAAAGCTCAGTGATTAGCTGTTGTTTAGTAGTAGAAGTCTCTTGTGTTCCTTAGAGACACTCCGGCAGAAAAATACAATGACATTTTTTGGCTTCAACACTGGACAACATCATCAAGGTTTCTATGGAAGCTGATTTGTTTAAGGGGATCACATCGGAGAGGAAAAGTGCCAGTGGCTTTCTTCATTAATTGGATCTTTGGAGAGTAGCTCCATCGTGAAATAATAAGATACTTCCTCATGGGACAGAGGTAGATTATTAACTGCAGAGCTGGCTGAGAGTGCTGTTTTAAGATTATTCTGCTACAGAGGGTTGGGTTTCAGTGGCTTTATTATTGCCTTCCTGGAGGCATTTCAGCCTTTTATCAGCATCTTGTTATGTGATATTTTATCATGCTTATCCAATAACTTCTATTATTACATTTCCGTTAGCTGATCATTTTTCCCTGCATTGTTCTTTGTAGGACCAGATATACCGAGTGTGGCTGTCTATAGAACTGAGGACAAAGAGAGTAAGTGTATGCCTCCATCGTCTACAACACGTCTACAAATATGTTTAATGATAAATACATTTGGACTTGAGAATTTGTAACAGGTTTTTCTCTTGAACTGCAGAGGTGTTTGACGTGGAGACAAATAAAAGACTAAACAACACACACAACAACATGCAGATGCCCAGAGTGGAGTACAAAACCATTGACATAGAAGGCTACAGTAAGTGTGCCTCTGTGTAACCCAACGTGCACCGAATTATTGTTTTCTAAAGTCACTAAAGATGTATGATGTACAATTATTCATCCCTCGAGAAAGAGCAGTTCAAAGAAGTGATGATGAGTGGTTGTAAAGTCTTGACCACAACTGTACACTGTAATTTGATAAGAAATAGGAAGGTCTGTGTTATAAGATTCCCATTGATCCTGTCTTTTCTGTTCTAGCTCTGACGATGCAGATTCTGAAGCCAGCTGGATTTGTAGAAACAGCTACCTATCCATTACTGCTGCTAGTGTGAGTATAAATATTATGTGTGGTCAGGATGGTTAGAAAAAGAGAAAATACCCAGTGAGTAGCAGTTCACTGGATCAAAATGCCTTGTTGACATCAGATGTCAGGAAACTAGGTCTCGATTTCTGCTGTGAGAGAAATCGAGACCAACCCAGTACTAGTACCTAATGAAGTGTCTGGTGAGCATAAGTTCTGCAGTTAAAACTGACTTTACTTAATGTTCAAAGGAGAACTTTAGTGCATCATTTTAGTACTGCACCTTTAGTACTGTATTAAACCCCAAAACACCGGATCCTAGGCCGGCCATGCACGTCATTGTTTTGTTTTACGAGGCCAGTATTCATTTAAATTCTGCCCAAACGATCCCATTTCCCTAGTTTGGAAGTGATTCTTCAGGCTTCAGTCTAGCCGTAAGCATTTAAATCAGACTCTGGGAACAACATGAATGAACAAAACACTGATAACTATTTCAAATGCCTGACTTGTTATAGGATAATAAATAACTTTCCTACATGAGCTAGGTCATTTTTTTCACCTCAGCTCAAAAGTTTCTTTGCACTACCATTCCACCATTTTTCAGCCTTCATGTCAGTAACAAGACGTTTTGGATATATTAAAAGTGTCCCCGACTTTGCAAGGTGCAAAGTTTTTAACATCAGTTTTTAACAGGAGTCTTTATTCCTTAAAGGTACAGTACATCATTTTAAAAGGAATATTTAACTCATAACTATGCATGATTAGTGTGTAAGAAGCAAGAAAACTAAGCTTAGCAGTACATTAAAATACATAGCAGTGGGTTTGTGGACGTCGCCATGTTGCCCGTCATCTTGAATCCAGTGGACATCCAGTTGACAGGATGGACATATACGTTCCGTCTAATCGCATTTTATGTATGCTGCTAAAGACTAGCCTCATATGTAGTACACTTTATAAGTGACATTTAATTTAAAGATTAGAAATTAGTTCCTTACTGTAACTAACTATGTATAACTATGTATTAATTGCTTTACCTGTATATTTTCATCATCTCTCTCTCATGTCTGACAATTACAGCTTACAACAGCTGAGCAATAACAGCAGCTGCTTATAAGCTAACATTACACCAGCTAATGTTAGACTCAACTGTCCTAAAAACTTTCTCTGTGATAACCAGTTTGATTAAATTCTCAAATCATATGAGCGTTTCATTTTTTAAGTGTCTCGGTCCAACAATGTTAGATAACCTTCAAAGAAAATTTCACTAACACTGGCTAACAGCAGCTAACAGCAGCTAAAACTGGCTAACAGCAGCAAAAACAGCAGCACTTACTAAGAAAAATTAAGGATATCCTCAACAACTCACCTCAGTATCAACAGAAGTTACAGTGGACTTACAGCCTACACTCACTACAAATGAACAGCAGCCATTGTTGTTTGTCCTACTCTGGCCATGCTAGCTAGCTAGGATTATATGCACTTGAATTGGGAGAGGTACAATAACAGAATACAGTTGACTGCAGTCTACTGACATTTAATGGTGAAGAGAAGCAGCTGGAGTGGGAAACAGTTTACCTAAGGCTGAAATAATCCCTATTGATTTTCTATCACTAAATCAAATGTTATTGCTCCAGAATAAAATAATGTGAATGTTGTGCACTATATTCCACATGTCTAAAAACTGCAATATTTAAATATTTGTGGTCATATTTAAGGGGGTTATGGTGTTGTATTGGACTTGTTAAATTCAACAGTGTCCCTTTTATTCTCTTTCTAAGTGTTTTGTAAAAGATCTGGTTATTCAAAGTTCCCTTTTCGGAATTAATTTTCTCATTTTTGTGCCAACCAATAATAATACTACTACTACACCAGGCTCTGAGATATTAGTTGAACTTATTGTTTTCCATCACACTGTGTGCTTCTCTCACAGGGATGGGACCCCCGGCGGGCAGATGGTGACGGAGCAGTTCCAGGTGGACTGGGCCACCGTCCTGGTCAGCAGCTTCAGCACAATTGTTGTCCGCTTTGACGGCCACGGCAGCGGATTTCAGGGCACCAACCTCCTCCACAAGGTCCGCAGGAAACTGGGGAAACTGGAGGAGAGGGACCAGCTGGAGGCACTCAGGTCAGACTCAGAAAAATGAGCAAAAAACTATTTGGTCATTTGGCTTTTGTCACTTTCATTATTGTTGGGGGGGGGGTTTGTTGTTTTTTTCATTTTCAGGCTGATATCCGAACAGTCTTACATCGATAAGAATCGAATGGGAGTTTATGGAAAGGTAAGAAGACATAACAGTCAGATGCACTGTTAAACCTTTACTCACCTCTGTGCCTTTATAAAAATACAGCCCGCCATGAAATTATTTTCACATACTGTATCTGTGTCTCCCTCTTCTCCAGGCCTATGGTGGTTATTTAGCAACTTTGCTTTTGAGCTCAGAAGAATTTACCCAACTTAAATGTGGAACAGCAGTTTCCCCCATCACAGATTTCGAGCTTTATGGTAAAACTTTACAGTAAATCTTCTGCTAAGTGAGTCTTAGATCTAAAAGGTACCCAATCTTTCTAACCCTGGTTTTCTTTATTGCAAAATGCAGCATCTGCATTTTCGGAGCGATACCTCGGCGCCAAGACAGACTCCCGAGTTTACACAGTAAAGTATCCACCCTTTTTTCTCCTCTGCTTCAGAATGCTTAGCTCAGACAATGAGTTGGGGGGTCTTTATAAAAGAACGTGTCAATGACATGGTGGATTTCCTTCTGTCTCTTTCCTCCAGATGGCAAATTTAGCACACAGAGCGGGTCAGCTGCTGGAGAAACAGTACTTAATAATTCACCCGACTGCTGATGGTAGGACCCAGTGCTTTCTTTTTTCTAAATACCACAGTAAATATGTGTGTGCTCAGAGTCTAACTGCAATATCATCTTCTCCACCACAGAAAAAGTTCACTTCCAGCACACAGCCAAATTCATCAACCATTTAATCAGTGAAAAGGCCAATTACACTCTGCAGGTGAGCCACGGTGTCTGAAATCACTGGTGTGAATAAAAGTGTGTGTG